AAGAAGAACAAAATTAGAGAGCCCACACTACCTGTTTCCAAAACAATATAAAGTTATAGTGATCAAATAGTTTCGTATTAGATAAAGAAAAGACATACAGATGAGTGGAACAGAACAGGTAACAGACCCACACATAAATGATTAATTGATTTTCAACAAAGTATCAGTGCAATTCAACCAAGAAAAGACAATGTTTTCAACAAATGGTGCTGGAGCAATTAGACAACCATATTAAAAAGTAATGCCAAAAAGTCCAATGCATATCTGACACTATATATAATTTCAGATAAATAAACATTAAGAATTTTTATCATCAACTATTTTCACTAGAAGAATCTCTAAGAATATTTCAGAAGAAGAAATCATTGCAAAAAGAAAAAGTGAGAATAGGAATTGATAAATGTGTGTAAATCTATAAAAATATGCAATATCTATATAAAAAACAGTAACATCTAGTTTGTGGAGTTTTAAAATGATTTTCTAAAATATTACATAAAACATCTAACATAGGAAAGGGCAGTTGGGGTTGAGGTGAAATAATGTATCTTTGCATATTTCAGGAAAATCATTAACATACTTAATCATTTTCAATTTTAAGTTAAATATATATTAAAATATGAAGAACAACAATTAAAAAAACTAAATGAGCAAAAACAAAAATAAAAATGTATAACTTTCAAAACAGTACAGACAAAATTGAATCTAACAAAAAGTAAATAAATCCTAAGATTGCTAAGAAATGCACTGAAAATATGGGCAAACAGCAAGGCCAAAAGTTATATATAAATATAGTATAAAAAAATAGTGACTATAAAAAAGAAAAACTGATTACACTCAGAACTTGTCACTTGGGATAAGAAACAAAATCCAACTATGTGCCACTTACAAGAGATATAACCTAAAAGATGACACACAGTATTTCAAAGTAAAAGACTGAGAAAGATATACCATGCATACATTAACTGATAGAAGTGATAGATAGCTCTCTAGTAATATCAGACAAAATATAATTGGACAAAAGACACTGTTAAAGAGAAAGAAAGCCACTACCTAGTGGTAAAAGTTTCAATTCTCAAGAAGATATAACTATCTACACTTCTATGCAACTAATAACCTATCTACAAAATATATCAAGCAAAAATTGACTGAATTAATAAATTCAACATCACAATAAAAATCTTTTAATGTACCTTTCTCAGTTACTGAAAAGACCAAAAACTCAAATATTAATAAAGCTATAGAAGATTTTGAACAATACATTAAGAAGCTTGACCTAATGGACCATTGTAGGACCCTTCCCCCAACAATTAAAGAATATGCATTTTTCTCAATCTCTTGTTGAACTATTACAAAAAACTGACCATGAATCAACAGTAGGGAGACCATAAAGCATGTCTCTATAAAGTTCAAGGAATATATATATGAAATAGTTCACATTTTCTGATTACAATGCAATTAATTCAGAAACACCAAAAATGAACAAAAACACTTTTATTTTCACATTAAAAAAGCACATTACCAAATAGAGTAGTTGATATCTCCAGTGGTGATCAAACTTAGAGGCAAAAATATCTAGACACCTGAGAGTTAAAACAGCCTCAGAAGAAAATCAACAAACTGAAGAAACATATACCCATCTAAAACAGAGCAGAGCAGATGAACCAAGGTTTTTTTTCAAAAAAAAAAAAAAAGCATTAAAAGTATAACTAATAAACAAAATATTAATAGTTCAAAACAAATTATTTTTAGAAAACAAAGCAGAACTATTATATTTGGTGACTGCAATTGTTGAAATAAAAAAATCACAATAAACAAATAAATAGAAGGATGGATTCAACTAAAAAAATGAATCAGTGAATTTGAAAATTAGATTGATAAGCTGTCCCAAAATCAAGCACCAAAAAAAATTAAATATATAGAAGACTTTAAAAATATATATATATACCATGGGAATTGTCTGGTGGTCCAGTGGTTAGGACTCTGCGTCCACTGCAGGGGACCAAGGTTTTGATCACTGGTCAGAGAATTAAGATCCTGCAAGCCTGGTGGCACAGCCCAAAATAAATAAATAAATTATCTACCAAATAGTGGTAGAAGCGAAACATCAAGAAAGTAGGGGCTCCAGAAGAAAAAAAAATGAGAAAATTGAAGAAAAAAGCAAAAATAAATTTCCTATAATGAAAGAAAATGAACAAGTTTGAAAGGGTTCAAGGAGCAGCAAACATGATAGTGATACATAATGATGTCAAAATAGGGAGAAACAGATAAATTAACATTTGTTATTAGAGATTTTAATATATGCCTCTCAGAAGCTCATAACCAAGCCAGGCAAAAATAAACAAAGATATTGAAGATTAGGACAACACAATTAATAAACCTGAACTATCAACAGAATGACTCTATGCCCCAATTTGTCCCCAGACAGTACTGGGTTAATGCCTACTACCCTGGATAATTATTAACAGTATCTCTCTCCAATGTGTCATAGTTCGGACAACAAATTATAGACCATACTGGCTAGTTGATGTATTTGGAACCTTACACTCAACACAGAAAATATAGTATATTTTAGCATACATGTAACATTTATAAAAACAGATTTTGTATTAGGCCATAAAAGAAACCTCTATAAATTAATTCATTTAATCATTCTTTCATTCAATATTTGTTGAGCACCTAACACGTGTCTTGGCATTTTTCTAGCCCTGGGAATACAGCCACGGTGCTAGCTACATGGCACAAGTTCTCAGGTGACCATTCACATCATGATCTAACAGAAATACAGCCAGGAATGCCATATAGAAACACTCCAATGCTTGGTGATCTATCAGAATGGCTACCTAGGAGTTTTACAATGCACAGACCACATGCCATAAGTGACAGTCTTGGGTATAACAGTGAACAAAACAAAAATCCTGTCCTACTGGAGTTTATACTCTAATAGAGACAGAAAAAGAACAAAATACAGAAAGTGTTTAGTATTAAAGAAGGTGTAAGTGATATAAAAAAGAATAGACAATGAAAATAAGGGTACCAGAAGTCAGGGCTGAAGGAGTAGTCATTTTAAATAGAGTGCTCAGGTCTACTAAGAAGGTGACATTATAGCAAAGATTTAAATGAGGAAAAAAAGTGAACCACAGGGACATCTGGGGAAAAGCATATTAGGCAGAAGGAACAGCCACTGCAAAGGCTCAGTCATAGGAACTTCCCTGGCACATTTCAGGGAAAGCAAAGAAGCCAGTGTGGATGAGTTCAGAGAAGAAGGAAAGCTGTAGGTAACAAAGTAAGGAAGGTAAAATTGGCCAAAAGGTATTGAGTCTTATTGGCCACTGTATGGACACTGGCCTCTACAGTGAAAGAAACTGGCGGGGGCGGGGGGCTCTAGAGAATTCTAAATAAAGGAATGACATCATCTGACCCACGTTTTAAAGGATCACTTAGGCTGCTCTGCTGAGAACAGACTGTAAGAACACAAGGTTACCCAAACAGAAACCTGCTCAGGGGCTGTTACAATAATCTAGATGACAAATGAAGGAGGTTTAGATCAGAGTGGTTGTAGTAAAGATGGTAAGAACGGTCAAATTCTGAATTTATTTTGAAAGTAGAGCCAATATAACTTCCTGACAATTAATATGCAATGTGAGAGACACAATCAAAGGTGACTCCCCCCAAGGACTTTGATCTGGGAACTGAAAGACTGAAGCTGTCTTTAACTATGATGCAGAAGACCGAAAATAAAGCAGTTTTAGGACAGAAGAATTGTTTGGGGCATGTTAAACTTAAAATGTCTGTTAGACATCCAAGTAGGGATATTTCTGACAGCACCTGGATATATAACTACGTAATTAAAGGGACAGTTCTAGGCTGTAAATTAAAACTTGTAAATCACCAGCAAATAGATTTTAATACATGGGACTGGAAAACCATGAAGATTGAATATGGAAAGAGGACTGAGCTGTGGGGTGTACCAACACTGAGACTGATGAGAGAAGACACTGAAGAACAGGCAGTGAGGCTGAAGGCAAATTAGAGTGTGAGTTTCTGGAAACCAGGTGGGGGAAAAAATCATTCCAAGGGGGATGCTGATAGTAGATTAAGTAAGATGAGGAAGACTGATCCTAAGATTCAGAAAATAGCTTATACTCTTCTCTTGGTAATTGGTTGAGGGGAGAATGGAAAGAGAAATGGAGAAAGTGAGTATAGAAAAATCTTCTCAAGGAGTTTTGCTGTTAAGGGAATCAGAGAAATGGGGCAGTATCAGAAGTGAGAACTGTGATCAAAAGAAGGTTTTTAAAAAGCAGTAAGGAGGGTGGGGTGGGAAAGAGCAGGCTGGTAATGCTAACGAGAAGTGGAAAACCCAGTGAAGAGGAAAATGATGCAGGAACTGTACTGGAAATGAAGGCGACTGCAGAAGCAATGCCCCCCAGTAGGATGAGAGGTGGCCAAATTTAGGAGCCTGAGGATTAAGTTGAGAATAACAGGAAGGCAGAGAGAGCAGAAGGGGACAGATAGGGTGGAAGGTCGGAGGCAGGGGTGGGTGGGGTTGCAGGTTCTCTCCTGGTGGCTTCCACTGCCTCATAGAAATAGGCCAGGAGCTCTCAAGGGTCACAGGTTAGAGGGAAGCGCCAAGTAGCCAAGGCTAGGTCCACTGCCAGGCCTTGCAGAGCGGGAGCTGAAGCTTTGGGAAGCTGCTTGTACAGCTGACACCACTTATTCAAGAGGAACACTGGTCCATAAAAGCAAAAGAGAGAGTTCCGGAGCCCCCACAAACCAGAGTTGCCCCCGCAAACTGCAGAGGCCCACCGGGCCCAACGCCCCGCGCGGACCGCCTCTCCTCAGACATGCCTGGCCAGACAGAGGAAGATACTCGGGTCCTCTGGCCAGATACAGAGAAGCTACGTGGGCCCGCGCAACAGCTTTGTGTTCTATAACGTTCCTTTCAAGCAACCAGCACGCCTCAGAAGATGAGGGTTCCCTCTGAGGCAAGCAGGGGACCTCACCTCCACTCAGTCCCTGGGCTGTTGTAACGTTGTTCGGGATCCATCCATCACTGGGGGGCCACATCTCCTCCCTGGGGTCTTGCCCTCAGCTGACCGCCACCCGCCATGAGTCACGAGACACCCCTCTCCCCCTCAAAGACCCATGAGACACCCAAAACCCGCGAGACTGCTGAGACCCGCGAGACCGGAGCCCACCCCTCCCCCACCCTGAGATGTAACCTCCGTCTAGTTTCACTGAGGGGCCATCCTGGGCGGGCAGCAGGACATCGTGAAAACCCAGGCTTCTGTCTCCTCTGGAAACAGCAAGAGGTCCTTCCTCTCTTAGGTACAATGAACCTCACTCCAGTGTCCGCGCTTGAGCCAGCCTGGGCCAGGAATCCCCAGAACCCTTCGATGCGAACAAGCGAGGGCAGTGAGGGCGGCAGAAGTTATTTCACTGAGCCTCATGTGGAGAAATGATCAGAAATAGATGGGGAACTGGTCAAATGGGGAGCAAGGAGAGGAGCGGGGAGGAAACCAGTAACTTTAACTTGGATGCACGAGGACTTTGGACCTACATACAATATAACAGGAAAATGAGAAATCTTGGGAAGTTTGTTTATGTGGACTTAGTAGGGCTGGTTGAGGAGGTCTTAGTGTGAGTGCACACCCTCCCCACCCAACACAGCAGCCCCCTGCACACTCCTTGCTCAATGGCGAAATGGGTAGATCAGTTGTCACGTGGTTTTTGACGGGCAGGTCCCAAGATACCATGATTTTCACAATGTCCTCCATTTACCCTTTCCTTTTGAAACAATTTCCAGTGTCTTTTATCAAAATCATGTGAAGTTTCCTTTCTAGTGTACCTAATTTAAGTTGTAGAAAATTCTAGAGGACCTCAGATCCAAGACTTAAGTGTGTTTTGATACTTAAACAGTAAGTCAAGTTTTATAGCTCCTTGTTCATATGCAGAAGGAAAATAGAGTCAATATAAAGCAGGCTTTACTTCGGTCAGTTTTTTTTGTGTGTGTTTTGTTTTTTTATTTATAGTTTTTAAAATTTAAGAGTTTGGGGACTTCCTGGTGGTTTAGTTGGTTAAGACTTCACCTTTCAGGGCAGGGAATGCCAGTTATATCCCTGGTCAGGGAGCTAAGATCAGACATGCCTCATAGCCAAAATACCAAAGCATAAAAAAAAAAACCCCAGAAGCAATATTGTAACAAATTCAATAAAGACTTTAAAAAGTGTTTAGTTGAGGTATAATTGACATGTAGTCACTTACATCTGTGAAACTATCCCTACAATGGAAAGAGTGAGTATATCCAGCCCTTCTAAAAGTTTTGTTGTGTGCCTTTGTAACACCTCCATTCTGCCTTTTTTGGCTTCCCCCTGCCAGTCAGGTTTACTTTCTGACACTACAGATTAGCTTGTATTTTCTAGAATTTTCTAGAAATAGAATCCTATATTATTATTTTTATCTGGTTTCTGCCATTCTGCATATTGATTTTAGACTCTTTCATGTCCTTGCATGTATCAGCAGTTCATACTTTTTATTGGTGTGTAGTATTTCTTATATGAATGCACCACAGTTTATTTTTTTACTTATTGATGACTATTCTGATGGTTTCCATTTTGGGCTATTACAATAAAGCTGCTGTGAATATTCTCTTATAATTATAATAGAAAATATGAGCAAAATATCGGCTGTGAAGAGGGGAGACAGCAAATGGACTATGAGACTATGATAGGACTGCTGAACAGGTGGAAAGGCTCCATTGAAGTTTGTAGTATGAACTTAGAGTAAGGCCAATCAGCATGATTTTGTGTATCTTTCCAGCCATCTTCGGCTGCATGAGTATAGGCATAAAGACAGAGTTACATTTAACCAGGGTTAAAGTTTTTCTCTGAGAATACTTCAAAGTAGAAGGGGGGCAAGATATTTGAGAGTGCATCCAACAGAGGAAGGATGCTGGTTGGCCTTCAAGTTTGGAGAAGGACTTGACTGTGTTTGTGTTCAAGTATATATGCGTGTGTGTGTGTGTGTGTATACACACATATATAGATAATTTTGTAATTATATCTCAGTATGTACATGTATATATATATATATATATATATATATATGCATGTATATATACACCAAATGTATATATTTCAATCTTTTTCTGTACCACACTGTCAGCTTAATAAGCTCTTAGTTCATGCCAAGAGACATGAAAAAGAGAGAATGGATAGTTTATTTGTAAGACTCTGGGACATTCCAGAAAGGCTATTCAAACATATTTGAAGGGAATTCAGCAAATAAATAAGATGGACTCATCCATATCCACCTTTTTCTCTGCCACTCTCCACTGCTCATCAAGCTGTAAGAGGATGGATTTGTGTGTTAATACACACTGCAGGAGGTTTGTGGTGGTTTGAACCACTTTGTGGTGGCCTGAACTAAGTATATTTCCACAACGAAAAGTCACAACATACACAAATGTTGACAGAGTCTACATAGAACACTAGAATGAGCACTCGTCCCCTGAACAAGTAAACCTAGGCTCAGGTTCCGGTGTATTGTACCGTAACAGGCAAGTCTCCTAACCTTGCTGAGCCACTGTTTCCACATCTGGAAAACGGATCATTCTTGATCTGCCCACCTAACAGAATTATAACGACAATTCTTTGGGAGAGCAGAGGGAATGTCTATCTCATTACTTATTCGAACTCTTGTATCTTGGACAGTGCTAGGCTCATAGTAAACTCAACCAACATTGATGGTTAAATGATAGAGCAAATGGTGAATGTGAAAGAACATTTTTCAACTAGCAAGTATGACACAAATGTTAAAGAATCTGCATTCGTTTTCTGACTTATACATTCTTCTTTCCTCATACTGGTATTGCTCCAGACAGTCCCCCTGTAACAGGCCCATACTTCAACCTAAAAGTTTTCCCCAGGCCTCCCTGGCCAATGTGATATCCTCAAATCCAATCAGCCAACCAATAATCAAGAACAACATGCCCCAACACAGCTGAGCTCTCCTAGGTCACCTAAGTCACAGTGCTCCCAACATCTTGAACATACCAGTCTCCCTGGGCCACCCCCTGCACAGAACCCTCCCCTCTGCAGACATCCAGAGATATCTAATAGACTTGGTCCACCAAGAGCCCTCCCTAGTCAAACAAATTTCACTCAAGACCTCACCTTCTCCATCTCAGCCTAGCTCCTTGGCCCCCTTTAATCCCCATTTCAGCCCAGGACTTCAGTCTCTTTATACAACCCTCCTGGCAGCTGGTAGAGGAAGAAGTAGAATCTAGTGGCAGCAACCAAATTATTAGCCCCTTCACCTTTACTTTTTAGCAACTCTAAAAGCAATGTCATGGGTAACCTTAGAGTAATCCAGGACAAATTCAACAGAATACTATCCTTGCCAACACTTCTCAGGTGAATGTGACAAAGGGAAAAAAAAAAGTTTCAAAAGCTGATGCCACCATTTAGACCACTTATTAGCCAAGTGATATGATGCTTAATGTCTCCAAGCTTCCATTTACCACCTAAAAAGTAAAGATTATAGTATCTTTTGAACAGGATTGTTGGATGGATAACAGAAATCATTTAAGTACCTAGCACAGCACCTGGCACTTTATACCTTAGTCAGTGCCAGTTTCTGTCCTCCCCTGACTCAAGACATCCAATTGCAGCCACAAACCAGACCCAGATGGAAGCCTTTCCCATAATGCTTTACTTGTGGACCCTTCTTCCTTCATCACTGCAGGAAGGAAATTAACATTTCCTGGCACTCTCCTCTTACTTGGCCCTTCTCAGAATCACCCTGGGATGACTCTCTTCTTCAGAGAGGCTCAGAAATGTCAGATGACTTTCTTAAGGTCACATAGCTCCTGCAAGGCTTAGCTGAGATTCAACCCTGCTTCTCTGGAACTTGAGTCTACTTTTATGCTTCCCACAGCTCTTCCCTTCAAAAGGATGCATATGAATCAGAATCACAAATTGGTTTAAATGATTATACAACATCAAGGAAAGAAATACCATCCAGGAAGGGTAGTTTACTCAAGGGAATTCTTTTTCATATTTTCGAATATCCAGCTGTCCTTGAGTCTCCTTCTCTCGTCTGAATTTTCCACTCACTCCACAAGGTGGCAGTATTCAACAAAGTTAGGTGTAAAGTTAGGTGTATTTACCAGGGATCCTTGAGGGTATCAACCCCTCATCTTTATCAAGGCCCTGCAAGGGAAAGCCCCTCACTGATAAGTACCATGGAATATGCTGGGGAGAACAAAGATGAATATCACAACAGAAAAGTGCCCTTCAATACCCCTACCCCGTGAAGACAAAAAGTGTACTTTCAGGGGCTGACCTGCTGCTTGGTTCCTACATTACAAGTCAAGGCAGAAAAACAAGAAAAAAAGAAATGAAGGAAGGGAGAGAGGGATAGAGGGAGGAAAGAAGGAAAAGAAAGAAGGGTAAAGGCAAAAGAGGCTGGCAAACAATAAAAGAACATGGCCATGGTTAAATAGTCAAGGAAAGCAAGAAGGAAGGAAAAACAAAAATGTTTTGATAGAGAGGACTTTACATTTCTAGCAATCCAGGTCAGTACATGTAGGAAATTCGAGAGAGATGACCACTTAGGCAGAGTCATACAGCAATCAGGGTAGAATCACCATTTGTGCAAAGCTAACTTTCAGCCATGAGGCACCAGAAGGGCACTGAATCCAAGCAAACTCCATAGGGCTCCAGGGTCAAAGACCCATAGATTGCTAGAGTTAAAACTGATCTCGGGGTACTACTTCCAGAAAGAGGAGTAGGCATATTTTTCCCTATTTTTTCTGCTAAGTACAAATAAAAACCCTAGACTCAGAAAAGACAAGCAGATTGGAGACCTCATAACACAAGGAGATACACAATGGTGCGTTCTCTAAGTTTTCTTTTTTACAAAATCCAGTTTGTAATATTTTCTTTCTTTTATTGTTTTTCTTTTCTTTTTTCTACTTTCTACAATAGACATTTATTTTTCACAGTTCTGAAGGCTGGAAGTCCAAGATCAGGGTGCCAGCATGGTCTGGTTCTGGTGAGAACTCTCTTCTTGGCCTGCAGAGAGCCACCTCCTTGTTGTGTCTTCACATG